CTTCTCCTTGATATGCTTACCTTTATATAGCAGAAAAGTACACAGAAAATTACCAGTGGAAAAACAGAGTTTTCTTACCTAATATTTCCTTGATTTAAGCTTCCTTGTCTTCTTGCTTGCCCTAGGGAACACCAAAACTGAATTTATTACAACATATATAGTTGCACAGTCTATCCATAAGTAAAAGTAGCTTTAATTCTCCAGTACAGCTTATTCACTCTCTCCTGCACCTGCAGAATCCATTATTCAGCTTAGAAATAATCTTATACTTTTCTTCAGCCATACGTCCCATTGTAAACAATGGCTTGCAAAACAGAAGATATTAACAAAGGAACATTAAAATATGCAAAAAAAAAGGGGAAAAAGCTCGGATGTCGAGCAATGGAACTTCAAAAGGTCAACTAAGCTTCCAGGAAGCTGTAAAGGGAGAACATTGTCAGCAGTGGTGCTATTGCTGCTTGCTCACGAAATTGTACGAGGACAAGAGAGGCAGCAAGGCCAAAGGTATTAGATATCATGAAAGAATAGAATCTGAAAACCGGACAGGACCCGAACCGAGAAAAATCATTTATGCTTATAGACAATAGAGCAGATTCAATCCAGCTTAAAGAGATTGTGATCAAGATAGACTCCTTTTTCACACGTAGTTGAGGGAGGATTCAATCCGGCTTGGAACATTGCCGCTACTACGATTGTGGCCGTAACGGGTAGCAACTGTTTATCTTATAAGTACAAACTCCAAGCGTTCTTTAAGATTTCTACAAATAGACCATTTTTTCCCTGTTGACCGTCGTCTTCCTCTACAACAATCCCTCGATGGTACTGGCCGCTTCGATGTTTTAAGAAATCAAACACCTACAATGACCATGTAAAGGTAATTATAATTACATATTTCGTGAGCTGCCATACATGGTCCTATCGTCAGGAAGTTGTACATCTAAGAGCACCTTTAGAGCACAAGATTAGATAAGATTGAATATAGTTTTAAAGATTAAATTAGATTGTATCATATTAGATGAGATATATTTTAATTTAATAATATATTTGGTTTGATTATTGGAATATAGAGCTTTGGATAAAAATATTAATCGACATGGACAAAAATGCCCTTATATTATTGGTAAACATAATAAATTTTATTTTAATTATTTTTATAATAATTAATTTATCATTAATATGAAGTTAATTGAAATTATTTGTATTAATTTTTAATTAATAAGATAAGATGAATGCAGCAAAAATTTTAATTAATTATCATTAATATTTTCGTTTGTTTTCTGAGAAACCAAATAGTTAAAAAACTAAACTAATCTTCACAAATTATAATTTCCAAGCAAACCCAGGCCCTCATCACCATTAAAACAGAGATGAGAAGAAAAAACAAAGCAAGCTGCAACACAACATCACCATCTTCAATTCATCATTCATGTCCTATAAAGCAGCCTTCCGAAACATCCAACCTGCAATAATATCACTTGTTACTCTAATTTGATTTTACCAACACATAAACCTTGGAATTATCCTTCCAAAAAAATTTGTGTAAAAACTTTGGGGGAAGAAAGTTAACTAACAATTTGTTTTAGTTCATACCAAATATCCGGTCCTAACAGACAACCCTATGTTCATCCCCTCCCAGCTTCTAGTTGTTGAAGAGTAGAACTGAGAGGAAGATACAACATCCAACCTTCACTAATATCATGCAGTTTTTACCCAAGTTTGCCTTTTGTGTTTGTGAACACATAAATCTAAAATCTTAGAATTATCCTTTCAAAAAACCTGTGCGCCAAAATAATTCCATCCTTCACGATTGAAGGAGATAGGATCATAGAATATTATAATGCTTACTTTCTTCTATGCATTTTACCAACGTAAAAGCAAATAATTTCACATAAACAAGAAGAACACCTCTCTTCTATATTATGTTAAGTTTGATAGGTGTGGGTTTCACTCTCACCCTCAACATTTGAAAAAAATAATTTCATATAAATTAATAAAATAATAATAAATTAAATGTCATTTAAAATATTAAAAAAATTAAATTTGTATTATTTAATAATTACTTTTTTAGTTTTTTTACAACTCATAATATTCTAATTTAATTTTTATTTTTTTGTCATTACTTAAATTAATAAGCATAGCAGAAGATCAGGAAAAAGAAAATCTATCAAAAGTTACTCCTTTACAAAATAAAAGATAAATAAATTAATAAATATAAATTTAAAATAAAATTCATCACATAACAAGATACTAATAATAATAATAAAATACATAGTTGATATCTTTCTCACTGCATATTTTGTCGAGAGTACATTTCAAAGTTGAGGCCATATACATCAAACTTCACAGAAGTAAGAGTGGAAGAAGAACACTAAAACTCACACATCAAGCTAAAAAAGTAATAGTTTACATAGTAGGTCCGGCTTTCAAAAGCTAGACTAAACCCAAACGATATCGCGCAAGCTTGCAATAGAGCACTTCATATCATCCAAAGTCAAGACCGGAACCATGAAATCTTTACCAAACAAAAAAAAAATAAAATTTATTACAACAGAGGTGCACTCCATATGATAAGTAGAAGTATATATCTTTACTTCTGCTATTACAACTTACGCATGGTACCGCCTTTCTGAACTTGCATCTCCCTGTAAGTTGGTTCTTCCGCTTCGTTTGCACATACTAAGGCTAAATTTAAATGGTACGTAAAGAAAGAGAAGAAAAATGCTAAGTGCCATTACAATATAGATAAAACCGAAGAAAAATACGTTAGGAGCAGTGGTGCCTAGAGAGGTAAGGTAAGTAAAAAGCAAGAAGAAAAGGGAAATCATTGTCAGAAGTGGTGCCATCCTTGGATCCCGGCGAAAAGGGATGAGGACGACGGAGGCAGCAAAGGCAAACGTATTGCACAGCATGAAACCATAGAATCTTGAAGCTGGGCACGATTTTAACCCAAAAAAATCCCCCGCATGTCGGTAATTTAGAGTAGGTATAATGCATTTGTTATCAAGATGGACTCCTTTTTCCCAGATAGATGAGGGAGGATTCAATCCGGCTTGGAACGTTGCCGCTGCTATCATTGTGGCGATAACGGGTAGCAAGTTTTCATCCTGTGAGTACATTCTCCAACTCTCCTTATAGAGAATTGAAAGTATGTTCTTTTTTCCTTGGTGTTTTAAGAAATCTAACACCTGCAATGGTGTCACATTTTTTGTGTAAGCTGCAATATTAGTAGCGTTGCTTAAATTAATTTCCTTTCATGTCAGGAAATTGTAAAAAAATATATCTAAATGAAAAGTATTAGAAAATTTATATTTTAGAGAGGACTTAATATATGATTAAAAAACCACATCTACAACTTATAATAGTGGTAAAAGAATGTAGCTAATTTTTTTTAATTAAAATCGATATACAAACTAAATAAAATTTAAAGTATTTTCCTATGAACTATTTAAAAATCTTCACCACAATTCATCAATTTACTCCTATCATTCTTTGAATTCAATATGCATGGCAATATCCAAAAAATGGAAATTAATTGCACTGAAGAAATTAATAACTAAATTAACAAAGAGAACTGCAGCAAATTAATTAATGATATTGATACCTGAACATGATTTGTTGCATTTGCATTTGCAATCTCAAAGACTGTTTTACCTTCCTTATCTTTTGCATTTACTCGTTCCTCATGATCCTCTAGCTTTTTTGATATTTCAAACAGAACTTTGAATGCTTCAAATTGACTGTTCTTTACTGCCAAGTGTAAAACAGTTTCACCGTTGGAAGTCACTTGCTCCATGCCTTTTTGATGAGGACAGTTTGATAGCAACTCATTTATGATATCGATCATCCCTTTCATGGCTGCATGGTGGAGTGGCGTTCTCCTTGCTTTGTCCTTCAACAAAAACAGGTCGGAATCCCCCTTGTTCAAAAGCTCCCTCACTACTTGTAAGTGCCCTGCAGCTGTCGCCAGGTGAATTGGGGCAAAACCATCTTTGTTAGGCTCTTGCGCAAATGAAGGCACCAGCTCCATGATCTTTCTCACAAAATCAACATGGCCGGCAAGTGAAGCAACATGAAGTGGTGTTTCTGCTCTAGATGACAAAGACACTCTCCAGAGAACAAGTGGATCCTCTTTTAACAAATCATCTAATGCTACAACATCTCCCAT